GTTGACCAAAAAAAACTAAATCATATACTTCGCGATTTAGAGATTTTTTTTTGTTTCAAAATATAAGATGTTTTGACAATCTTATTTACTTTTTTATTTTATTGAATATTGTATGACCATTTATATTTTGTAGTGTCTTTAATGATTGCCTAAATTATGTTTATTATATATATTAAATAATATTTTTAAAAAGAAAAGTAGTTTTTTAAACTTAACGATTTTAGCCAAAACATATTATATTTTGAAACGGATGGAATATTATGGATATATGTCTATCGTAGTGGTCAATAATATCTCAATATAAATTGATTTTCATATTCAATCAATCACATATATGAAAGAATTGAACTATAAGAAACAGATGTAAACTACCAATTTTCTTTCTTTCATTATGGCATTCACATACATATTTGGAGCAAAACTATATTTATTACATGAATTCCTACCAAAAGAAATAAAAGTAAAATTCCATACAAGAACCAGAGAAATTCATACTAGTTACGGTAGACTCGCGATAGTCAAAAACGTGGATGGACGGTTTCCAGTCTGAAGTGGATTTTCTTATGTCAAGTGGATTTACTATTTGGGTAAGACTACCACTTGGGAGACATATTTGTAATTATATACATAAGTGTGATTAGTGTCAAAAGATTTAATCTTTTGACAATGTCTTTGATCTCACTTTGTTACTTTTAAGATAAATCGCCCACAAATACGATCAATCACCACTTATCTTACTAGTTGTTAAGGTGAACCGTACACTAAAATCAATGCAATTCCCACGTCGGAAGCCAACAAATATAGTAACAAAACTCTACTTATACACATATATTTTGGACAACAAAAGGAAAATGCACATGTACTGTAGTGTTTGGTCATGTCTCGATATTTGATTGTTAAGTCTAACATTTAAACATTTTGATGCCCTAAAATAACATGGTTGATAAATCATATATATTGATAATTAGGAGGTGATCCGGATTTTCTATCTTCCGACTAATTTTCTAAATTAGGTGTAGTCGTCATGTAACCCCCTCATCGGATTTTTTTAATAGATCTAAAGCATGAAACAATTTTAACTCACCATATAAGAACATTTAGATAATTTCTCGTTTGAGAAGAGTGATCTCTAGTATAGACCAATTGATTAAATCCTCTCTAAGTGAGAACTCCTCTCTAAGTGAGAACCACTAATCAACTGTCACTTAGTTAAGTTATATTGAATAAGAAAATCGATTAATTTTTAATTATTGGATAATAGTTGTTTAA